CCTCTTCTTGAATAGTGAAAGAATTCACTCAAGCTCTCTAGAGGAAAAGCCTCTGTTCACCACCCCATTGACTGGAAACCAGGTGTGGTAAGGACTTCATAGCTCTACGAGTAGCATATGGGAGATAATACACGATGGAGAGTCCTGAGGAACAGTGCTCTGGAAACAGTGCAATAGGTGAACGAAGTTTCCTAATTTTTAAAAGCAAACCAACCACTATTTATTCAATCCAATGATCGGCAGAAATGAGGGAACCCCTTATCCTTTACTCGTGATATTCCTTGAGGGGTGATCCAGCATAGTACAATAATACCACCCAATCAGCTTCTAGGTAGTCTTATGGAACACCTCATTTCTACAAGCCTGTTGCAACCTGCATAAAGTATATTGAATTAGTGGTTGTTAGTGCAGAATTGGCTTGATAAAAGCACACCTGTCTGGGCAACACTCGCCACAAAGTGGGATCCTATGAAAACAAGGTAATGGACCCTGAAAGGTAGCAATGAAAATACTCACCCCTTTGTATGATCCAGCAGAACCAGTTAAGATAGCTACAGATGAAAAGACTGCCAGATCATGCAAGTAATGTGAGATAAAAAATATTGGGAGATGTCCACATACCGGTTTGCAGAATGACCTCCAGCAAACAGTTCAACCGGGCCATTAAGGACATAGAAATGTGACAACTCTGATTAGACGTGACTCACAGAAAATTCCTTACCTTCAAAGAGAGCCCAGAATAAAAATTCATTGGCTAACATCTCTAAAGGCATTAGTGCAGGTAAAAAAAAAATTCAAGACTATCACTGAACATGACCATAATCGAAATCTGATCAGACACAGAAGTGAGAAATAATGATCAGATGAATTGTAGATAAGGATTTATCCCGTTCCCTGTCTGACAGTGTCTTTGGTAAGAAGAACCAGTCTGTAGACAAACAGCACAAATCACCCCGACCAGTGATGTCTATAGGTCAGCAGCTACAAGAGATAAATCTTCAGGTAAAGAGGATACATGGCGTATAAGAGTCAGGTCACAAACAGGTGTTGAGAAAGAACATGTAATGTAATCTTAATATATCTATTAGGTAACTGGAATGGTCATTTGGAACCAAGGACCCAAAGCGACTTGAGGAATCCAGAGAGGACTGGGGATCAAAGAATATGTAGTCATGATAATCGAACAGTAGTCGATAAGGCCACTTTAAACAGGGCAATTGTGTAAGATGCAAAATATCTGCCAAAGAGTCAGGTCAAATAACGAGTTATGGTTATTGGTTGAATCTCCTCTCAATACACCATTGTTGATATGTTTGTCATTTCCATTGAAAAATGTTCATCTCTGAACTAAGCGAAAAGGACTGGCATGACCAGGTGGTTAGGGTACTTGACTTGCAATATGAGGGTCACGGGTTCGAATCCCCATCCCACCAAACATGCTCGCCCTTTCAGTGGTGGAGGCATTATAAGATGATGGTCAATCTCACTATTCGTTAGTAAAACAGTAGCACAAGAGTTGGCGGTAGTTGGTGATGACTAGCTGCTTTTCCTCTAGTCTTTCACTGCTAAATTAGGATGGCTAGTACAGATAGCCCTCATGTAGTTTTGCACGAAATTCAAACCAACCTTAGAAATTAATCACCAATGCCATACAAAAGACTGCAGGACTTATATGCCTGCAGCTTGAGCTTCTGGATAGCCAGGTGTACCATGTCAAGTCATGGCTGCCTCCACAGAAATAGCCTAAGAAATCGGAAGAGGTGGACACTCCAGAAGGTTCCACAGAAACAGAATGGAGCACCCAATCTGGTTCTATCAACTGGACCCGACAATAGGTTGGAACAAATCATATTTAGTATCCTGGGTAACGTCCTCAAAAAATTTCAGAAGATTTGCTAAACAAGACTTTCCCTTAGTGAAACCATGTTGGCTCTTTGACACCATATCAAACTGATTTAAGTGACTTTACAATGCATCTTTAATCGCACTCTCCAAAACCTTTCCAACTACTGATGTAAGACTAACTGGCCTATAATTGCCTGGACAATGTTTATCACTGCTTTTAAATATTGAACTAACATTAGCCAAATTACAATCTTCTAATACTCTTCCACTACTTAATGACCTATAAAAATATTAGCTAGCAGTTCACAAATAAAATGTTTAAGTTCCTTTATAACTTGTCTGGTCCAGGGTATTTATCAATTTTTAGGTTTCCCAACTTTTCTCTTACAATTTCAGAACTTAAAATGATATCCTTTAGATCAATATTTTTCCCATACATTAAAGTGCTCTGGTTAAGACATAATATTTGTATCTTCCTTCGTAAAAACTGAAGAGAACATATAGTTTAATAAGTTTACCATCTCATAATCTTCTGAGATCAGCTCCCTACTATCATTTTTAAGAGGTCCAATCCCCATCCTAACATTTTGCTTACCCATTATATATACCTAAATAATTCCTTATTGTTTGATTTAACTCAACCAACCCTCTTTCATATAGAGTTTTTGCCCTTTTAACTTCCTTTTTAACCAGCTCTCTTGATTTCCTATAGTCCTCTAAGTCCTTATTATTTCCATTAAGTTTAAATTTCTTGAATTTATTATGTTTATCCCTATGATGATCTCTTAAACCTTTACTAAACATATTGGCTATTCCTCTCCATTGCCATTTTTTCTGTAGGGAATATATATGTTCTGTAGGCATATAAATTTTTCCCTAAATATTTCCCACATCTGTTCAAGATCCCTTCCCAACTCTTTAGTTCAATCTACAGAAACCAGATCATATCTCATTCCATCAAAATTGGTTTTCCTTAAATTTGGAATTAGGGCACTATTCTTCTTCAATTCTACATGTAGTAAAAAAGATGTAAAGTAGTGAAGATGTGAACTGAATGGCTAATCCTGACTCAAAAACCTGTAGTGCTCCTGAATCTGTGGTTAAGGTTACCATACGTCCAGAAATTCTCGGAAAATAATCACCGACGCCACTGGAAGTGATCCAACCGAGCAGCAGAACCCTTGGATATAGACAGAATCTATTCTGGGTACTAATGTACTGAGAGTCTAATGTCGAGGGTCAGGACCTACGAGTGTGGGCAGAATTATGACCCCCTGTAGGATCCGATGAAATTTGAGACTCAAACGACAACAGGGGAGAATGTAGAAGCCGAAAATTGAACTAACTTGCATGCTAACAATGGATCCAGCTTGTCACCAATGAAGTTGGTGATCCTGAGAGTCTTCCAACAAAGTGAAGTGAAAGAAAAACGAAATGTTGGATTTTAGAGCTGTAAGTGTATAGACTTACCCTGTCTTACCAGAGGATATAGATCTATTCAGGTTAACCACAAACTCCACCTTAGAACCCTGAATTTGAGGAGTAGATGTATTATTTGAGAGTCGGAAAATGCGTCCACTTGGCGGTGGTAGGCTAAATCACGAAGTTCCGAAGACACGTCAAATAAGGCATAACTGTTCCTTCACGTAACTGAGAAGTAAACCTTCCAGCATAAACCACAATATCCGTGGATAGAGAGACCTTTCAGCCATCAAGTAAGGTATAGGATCAAAAGCAACTGGGAAAATGCCCATAACATCACAATCTCGATGAACCAGCAGAAGAAAACAAATCAAAAGAAGCTTATCCCCAAGTGACCTCCTGTTTGTTTTTGATAGGTCAATTAAAGACTGTGTTGATTACTGTTGATTGGAACAACATTTGTCAGGTAAATTTGTTTTGTTTGAGGAAAGCAACATTGGACCATCTACCGTGTCCACCACAGGGAATCGAACCCCAGACCCCAGCGCTACAAATCCACAAACTCAAAAGCCAACAGATTAAAAGAAGGTGCAGGAAAATGGAAATCTAAATTATTTCTAGAATGTTAAGATTGCCCTCAATTGCAGCAACAGAACCAAATATATATATTTCCATCTCACTATGAATAAGATCACTGACAGTCTCAACCAATAATGACCCCCCCCTCCCGACTGTTATGCGATACTAGATGTCAGATATGGGATAGGAGAGATCCGATTTGCCTTTCTACCAAAAATAATAATCCTGAAATTCATACCATAAACCAGCTTGTCAATCAGAATTTTTTTAAATTAGTTTGAAAATCAACTAGAAAACACAGATAACGTTCAAAGTATCTCTGACCTACCATAATACTGAGAAACCTGTTAGTGATGCTTTGTTGAGAAATAAAATTTACACATTATCTGAATAAGGTGCTTATATACAGTACCAGGATAGAAGGCGCATTGACATAGATGGAGAGTATACGAGATAAATATCGACAAAAGCAATTGAGTGGGATATAAAAGACTGGAGCAATCGAGAAAAAATCAGACCAGGAAGAAACCGAGTAATAGCTATAAGTGGGAGAGGAAGTAAATATGTTTTGGAACTATCTTCTTCAAAAGTATAAAGAAAGGACCATCTACCAAGAGAGTTAATACTATTATGGTTTAGTTCTGATTTTATAACTTAAGTTAATAAAGCATGTCTTTCTTACTGAAGTAGTGCCAACATTGTTAACTGGCTCAATATTACAGATAATTTCATCTATAATTAAAGCTGTATTCATTTGGATGGTGATGTTTACTGGTTCATTTGACTTAGTCACATCAACCACTTCTGGCCACATGTGCAGAAAAGCTGGACAGCCTGAAACATAAAGGCAGACATTAAAGCTTATGACCACATGAAGAACTATTACTGGGCATTAGTTGATGAATGAAAAACATGGAAATTCAGCAAGACCATTCACACATTTTTAAAGGTGAAAACATAGAATCAAAAGAACATCTGATTAAATAAACTAAATATCCATAAACTTGTTAGATTTTATGTTTAAAGTTCTGCATAATATTATTACTTTATATGTTATTTATATGTAGCATAAAACATAAACATGTATATATATATATATATTAACAACTGTCAGGCATTATTTACAGTGTAAAATAGTATTCAACACAACTCACTGTTAGATTTTGAATCACTTGGTAGTAGACATTTTCCACAAGCATTAATTTTTCGTCCACTATTGAGAATACCATCACAGCCAATGCAAGCATTATCACTGTCACACACATCACATTTGTTTAAACCATAACTTGGTATTTTTCCCATTTTGCCTTCGACACAGGAATTGCAGCTATTTTCCAGAAAAACAAAGGACAACCTTGATTGTATAGAAAACATACGAATCAGTAAATGCACTCATTTTTTCATCACCCAGAAGAAACATCATGAAGATTACCAATAGCTTTTAACAAGTTAGAGAATATTTAAAAGTTATCTATAAACTGAATTTAGTAAACTTTTCAAGATAAGTTCAATATGTTCAGAAATACTAATACACGGTGCTTCTTTTTAGATGGCATGCATTGGTACTGTGTACCAGCACCATTTTTCATATTGCAAAATGGAGAGAAAGGTGACAAAACTTGAAAGAGTAATGTAAATGAATGTGTGAATTTTCCCCTTTGAACAAATCTTTGAACCAAGAGACACCGAACTAGAAGTGTTACAAATGACAAAATTTAAAGGAGTGTGGAAAGATACTGTTTGTTTGATCGTGTATGTGTGATCATCAATGCAGCATCAGGTAGGATTAGTGTGCCATTAATAGGGAACATCAATGGTCACCTGGTTTGAACACCTACATGACGTGTCAACTATCAGTCGATGTACAGTAGTGGCTTCACTTTGATTGACAGGTTTCAATTGAGCAGTGGCAGGTAAGACCTGGCCTGGGTAGACACAATACTGAGTTCAAAGAGACTGCTTGGAACTGGGAATCGGGTGACCACAAGCCGAGTTGACTGGTATGCAGGTCTGGATTGTATATTCATTCAAATAAAATAAGTCACAAAGTGGATGAAAATGATTGACGTCACTAATTGCACAGCATTTTCTCAGCTAAGTTAAAAATATGCATGTGAGTCTCAGGAATAAGTCGTTTTGTTCTGACATGCTCAGTCGAGGTGATGATACTGTGCTTTGATTTTATTGTGACCGGGAGTGTATATCATTTTCATTGCGTCTTGAGAAAACACCCCAATGTAAAAATAAAACGAATTCCAAGTTTCTTTTCACCTTCTGTGAATAAGAAAGCTAGAATAAGTAAGGAGGTGACCCAAGAATAGGAACTAACAGCGTCAGTGACAGTTTCTGTTCCTGATCCATCCAGTGTCCACGAGCTATCTGATAATGACTGGCCTAGCTGATGGACTGCTGATCAAAACATGATTTTTGCAGGAAGTACGGTTGGCTGAATTTTGGAAATAATAAACTTGGCTGTACACCTTGTCGTAAAATTGGAACTTTTGGAGTGGAAACGAAGGCAGGAATGAAAGTTTCTAAAGAATGGGCCAAAATTGAAATAACTTTATTTGGTGAAAGGCGACAGAATGAGGGTTTTCGCAGATTAATTTGATTGTCACCCCAACCAGGGCTTTGTTTATGACAAAAAACGTTTTGGTACTTTTGTTTATTAAACTTGTTGAATCACCCCTTCCACGCTTTGACCCCAAAAAATAGGTAGTGTCATGGTTGCCCCGAAAACATCACTCAGCAGTAGACACCAAAAGCAAAGAACGAAGTTGGGTTATTGACTCAGATGAGAACATGATGAAAATTTGGAATTTTCTATAAAAAAAAGTAATTCAGTATGTTTCATCTCTTAATTTCTTATATATATGATTTGTACAAAAAAAAACATTGCTTATATACAAAATAAAAACACAACAATTCAACTTTATTTCATGGTTTCTCATTTATACTGTAACAGTTTTGACAGGAAATACACCTTCAACTATTGGAGAAAATTTATGCTAAGTAACTTTTTCTGACACATAATTCTATGAAACACAACAGAGAAGCGAAATTTGGTCTTTCTTTATATTACATCTACATCTTACAGTTATGAATATGCCTACCAGTGTGTTTCTTGATATCATGATGTATGTTTATAAAATACAGTTTTTATCAGTGTGAGTATTATTATACAACTTAATTCAAAATTCAGTAATTTAGGCAAAAGCCAAATATTATAGGTTGAAAAATAGTTAAAATAAACTGAAGCTTTACAGTAATTATATATAAACTTACATATTAATGTATGCTCCTTTATCATCTGTTTCATTAACTGGATCTTCTGGAAATTCTTTCCTGAACATGAACAGGAATATATATATATATATAGCACTATTACACTGCATTTATATCTAAAGTCAAAAATATACTCAACATTTACATGAAAACATAAGTAAATGTTTAAGTTTTAGCCAGACATTATTTTTTTTATCAAAGTAAAACTATAAGCTATGATGAGTAACTTAAATAATAATATTACACAAAGGATCTTCTTGTTTTAAAATACCATATTATTTACAAAGAAATTAAATCAAAAAAACTGAATAAGGTTTTTTTATTAAGCTTTTGAAGTTGTCAAATAATATTTCAGTTGATTTAATTTCTGGAATGCTGATGGTTATTATTACTTCCAAAACAGATGCCTATGTGATATTGTTCTTTAAACATCTGTTACGTGAATATCAACTTGAACTGGATATTTAGTCATCTGATGGTTTGTACTTCAATGTCTATGTATGATAGCTTAAATATGTACTCACTGAGCACATAAATGTCTATCATTGAAAGCTATATTTTCTTCTCGTTCATCATAAAGAGCAGTACAGCTTATCTCCACTTTCTCTGGCCTCTCTGATGTACATACACCACAGTCTTGAAAAGAATCTGCCAAATTCAATTTATAACTTATAAGACAAATGGCTTTATCACAATTCACGATAAATTACTAAACTAAAAAACATACAAGTGTAACAATCTTCAAAATAAAAAATATGTTTTATTTTTGAAGCAAATTTGAAATTTTTGTTTTGATTCTGAGAGTAATGAAAATACATTAAATGATATATATAGGTATATATGAACTTAATAATCAAACATTCATAATATTTTTCAATTAGTTAAATATACATCACACAGGTAATAACTTTATTATGTGTAAAAATCTAATAGATAAAAGTTTAATATTATATTTCAACTTTGTCAGAGAAAACCTGAGATAATGTCATCTTGGGGTCATTTACATTATCAGTTCCCTTTGTATGCTCGAAATGGTCATGTTTTGGGTATCATAAACTTAATTTTTCACTAAACTGACTAGCAGCAGCCAGATTTACTGAAATAATGAAACCACTACTACATTCCTCTAATGTCACTTTATACTGATCACCATATGATTTCAAACTGGAGACATGGCTTAGCTAACATAACTTTATATAAAAGGTCACCATGTGACCACACCCTAGAAATGCAGTATCTTAGTTAGCCAAAACAAAAGACTCCATAGTATTACTAAAGCAATGTTCTCAGTATTAAGGGCATGCACATATATTGCTAAGATGCACAAGTATATCTGGTCAAGTGATAGGATTATAAAAATTTAGTTAAGTAGGATTCTACTCAGAGTCATTGCTAGGCATTGGCACATGAGGTCCATGCCCCAATTTTATTTGACACTGCCACGAATCCCAAGTTAGTGTCTTGAAAAATCAGAAAGAAAAACCATGATCAATATCATACTAAAAAGCCAAAAATACCTGCACAAATGAACCTGATCCCCTGAATATTTTAAGTACCCAGTGACAACTCTGGTTCTACTGTATGTATCAAGATGCCATTTATACCAAAGAAACATCAAAGATAGGCGACCAAAGTGAAGAAGAGTAAGTGGGGAACTCAGTTAAATTTGTAGTGGAAGTCTGGAAAACTTAACATAATTTTAAAAAGTAGAATATGTTTGTTATGGTGTAACTTAAAATGTACTTAGCATACCCTTCTTTATCCAAAAAGCAAGTAACTTCACACTGAAATCAGAAAGTGTTACAAGAGTTTGTGTATCAACCATTCTATATTTCTTAATAATTATTATGTATATTAAGAATAATATTTCTTATTGTCTTCCTTTTTTATATTTCTCTAATATATCAGATGATCATATCATAACAGTTGTCTCCCTAAAGAACCTTTACCAGATATTGTTGAATCAGAATATCCAAACCCTTCTAAAGATCCAGGCTTTTTGAAATTATAATGAAAAAAAGATTGTATATTCAGCATTTCATCAAAGACATCAAGGGATTGCAAAATCATATGGAGGGGATGGTTAAAAAAATAATTTGAATCACATATATATTCTAGTTCTAATATCCTTATAACCATCATTTATGGTGTTCTTTATAACTTATAATACAATTTAGTAAAATGTAGTTCACTGAAAATAGTATTCATAGGCTGAAACACTGACCACAATTATTTCTTATGTATAGATTTGAGTAATTTCTTTGCATTTTAAGATTTAATCATGATGCAGCTGCATTTGTTGTTATAGTTTAATTTTTTTTCTATGTGGCTTAAAGTTGCACCAAGATTGGATGTTTAGATGTCTGAAAGAGTAACAGAGAGGATATCTTTAGCACTTTTGCACTGTGTGTGTGATAGCTACAAGCAAGATAAGAATTAGAATTCTGATCCAATGAAGAATTCACCCCATCTAACCATCAATAAAACCTTGATCTGGAATGTAATAAGCAAAGATACTGGATAAGATCAAATTGAAAGTATTTTTTCTTTGTTGTCAGTGACTGTTATGATTTCAAAGACATTTTTCAAGCATGAAAGAAAAATTGAACATGTAGACACTTTTAAAAAATATTGTTGCGTCAGCAAGGTCACGTGACTAGTATCACGCCACTTCTTCTCTGGAACCTTCGGGAATTGTCGGGAGATTACTAGATATAGGGTAGGCTCGTATATATATAAGATGGTGACAACGTGACGGGAT